GGGAGGGAGGGAGGGAGGCATTGAGTGAGTGATTAGGTGTATACTTTACGCTGGTTTATCTCGCGGAAGGGTTCATGCAGCGAGGAAGCTATGGGGGATGGGGTGAGGGGGTGAGTTATGCTGGGGAGCCGTCGGGGCGGTGGAGAGTGGGAATCATCTTCTTTTGGGGTTTGAGGCGCTGAAATTTTGTACTGCAAAGAGAATTTTGAAGAGAAGAAATATGCTATTAGTACCACAAGTTGGCATAGTAGCTGGTGGTTTGTGAGGCACACTAGGAAAAGTCAACCACGCTATGCTGCAAAAAGTCTTTGTCCCGATGCCTTTGGTTCCCCTAAGTATGCCAGTTTCTCCCATGTCTCGTAAACATCATAGCTTCGTCAATCGGTAACCGCGTTACAGACATTGTTATCATGAACAAATACACCTCCCATAATGTGACATAGCGCAACCACGGCGGGCACGCAACCGAGACCACTCTCCAGCACGTCCTCAGCTTTTGCGAGGTCGACCTCTCTTGAACTTCTTCGGTGCACCGGCACCGTGCGAGCTGTCTGGCTTGATGATGAACTCGTCGCTTTCTAGGTCTAGCGAGCCACGGAGAATACTCGTCGACAAGAGGTCTCTCGTATAACAGGTCATGCCCCTGTCTTGCAGAATGGCTGCATTAGTGTCTTTCTCATCGCTCACCGCAATGACGATCGTGTTGCCGTCATCTTTCACGCCAGTTGCGGCTCTCGTTATTACTTTTTCTGCTCCAGCCTCGAGAACGATATCCCTCATCTCAGTTATGAAGGAATTGTGATGCTCTTTCATGGCTGGCGTGAAACAAATTGTCATTCCCGAGAAGATGGTACGCTGCTCCTTGCCAAGAACATCGTACAACGAAAAGCCCCACGCTTTCTCGTTCTTGTGGTCTCGAGGTGCAAATCTATCAGGGTTCAGCAAGCGCCCCATGGCGTGGCTGCTGATGAACCAGTCGTCTGTAACGATAGCAACGCCGAGCACGATGGCACGCAGCAATTTCCCCGTCTTTTTGACCTCTGAGCGCCCCACACTACCGTACCGGCGTTAGCATGTATTCAAACCCTTTGGAGTGTAGTCAAACTTACCAAAGGATATTCGCATCTTTCACTGCTTCGACCTTTTTACCACTGTGCATCTCCAAAAAGGCCATGAACTTCTTTTGATCCGGGATAGTGCTGTAGCTAAACGCAACTCTTGGAGCTGAAAGTTCGTAAAGCTGAGATTCCGTCACGGTATTCTGAGACGATCTCAAGTGGTTCGCGATTGGCGATGACGACCTCTTTCTGCTTTTCGAAGTCTTACGGGGGAAATTGGCCTGTCTTGACTGACGGGTGTTGGTATCCACTACTATCTCTTCAATGCGACTATCCTGTGAGTCGTCGTTGGACGTTCGACGCTTTTTACTCGGGGGTCCGCGGGCATCCAGATTGTCACCATCCAGATCGACCGGACTCGATCGCTTGCTGTGTGCCCTCTCAATAACAACTGAGACGCCTTTTTGACGTGGTGGCGGCTCACTAGTTGGCTCCAAGTCCTTTTCGTTATGTCTAGAGACATCTTTGGCATCTCCTGTATTGCCAGGCGCTGTACAGTATGGTTCCTGGGTAATGCCAGTCTCCATCCCGGCGGGGTTCGTTCCACGTAAATCCAACTCCTGAGGACTGACGTATTCTCCAGTCAAAGTCGCAGAGGAAGCTTTTCCAGATTGGGCTTGTTGAAGTCTTCGTGAGGTTGGTGTCTCCTCAACCAGGTCAGCTCGTTCTAATGTAGGATTTGGTGTTGCTTCATCCAAAAGTGAATTGGGAATGTCAATCTCCTCGTCTTCCGTCTGGTCCGAATCAGCATCCCCATTCTGAAGGTCTACGACATTAGCAGTGGACGCCGATGAGCGAACCTGAACTTTTTCAATACAGTCGTTCCCAGCGCCAAGAAGATCGTTCTCAACGTTTACTTCACCGCTCACATCGTCCACTTGATCATTCCCAACATCGACCTGATCCTTCCTAACTTCGACATGGAACTTCCTGGCAGGCGATTTGACGAAGAAAGTATCGCCATCCCTCAGGAAGATAATCTCGGTGCTGCTCGAAGATGATGCGTTGAGGGTATATTCCGCATGTGGGCTTGCTTCTTTTGGAATTACGCAGATGGGCTCTGCTTTTGCCTGGAGCTTAACACCGCAGGGTTCCACGGCTTGATAAAATTAGCAGCTAGCATCCGATCATAAATACTGTTGATACGAGCTTACTGATAGAACCTACGGCCTTCTCAGAGCTTATGATGCTGAGAATATAGCTACCGTCGCCACTTTCGACAATGTCCCGGCTTTGCCCTTCTAGGAGGTTCCACGTAAAAGAAGTCTCGGAGAGCTGCCACAGCGTCACGGTCACGCTATGTTCCATGTTGCCGTAGTTTCATGCAGGAGGTTGATGTCGTGAATCGTCGTGGAGTTAGTGGGGAAAGAGGTGAAATTGACGTGCCGGGACGCGACTTTAGCGCGAGATGGCAACGGGTTATCACGTGAGACGCTAGGCCGACGTGGAGCACCCCCGAACGACGACGCAGCCCTCTCCAGCTCCTACACACATGCAGGAGCCCTTCCAGGTATCAGACGGCAGCCAGCCACTCGAGAAACGACGCCGATGCTCGTCGCTTCCGCTGCTTGCCGTCAGACCACCTCATTCAATTCGCCCTAGGGAGCGTGCACTGTAGTGAAATCTCAGACATGGCCGTTGGAGAACAATACTAAGGGCTTGCGCCGGATATGACCAACTCGCCAACGGCTGCTTCAACACTGCCGAGGGATGAGACGCTGCGAATGAGGTTGTAGGATCAAGAGCATCGTGAGTTCAGAAGGATCTTCCAGCCGCACTGGCGAGTCTAGACAGCAGCGAGCTGCAGGCCTGAGAAATACGTCTAGTTCGAAAGCAGGCAAAATCCAAAAGTCATGGCGTGTGCAGCCACGGTCAATTCATCAGGTTTGGTGTGCTGGTGAAGTTTGCGGCCGCACGGTGGGGTGGCCGAGACTCTCGCTCTTTCTTAGTATTGTTCTGCTTCGGGAAGCGGCAACAATCGAATCCTCCTCAGCCATCTTACCCACCAATGTAGCCGCGTGTATGGCCCAACCTTTGCATTGTCTCGCTTTCTATTGTTGCATTTCTTCATCCATCTCTCCTTCGCTGCTCCACGCAACAGAAGCTGCAACTTCCTCGATTTCTTTCAACATCCTCAGATTTGCTAGTTCGTCATCCCAGTGATCGTCTCCAAGCCACCAGCCGCTCTACTCGTTCTCGCACCAAGCCAGGACTCTAGGAAAGGTAGCTAACTACCCTTCTCCTGGCGACGGCGAGTACACGATCGAGAAACTCAGTCTATATTCCGCCCTTCGGTCATCTGCAGACCGACAGCTTGTCAGCATCATGGCCGACTCCAACGGAACGGCCGCTCCTCCTGACTTCAACCCCTGGAATCAAAACTTCACGCTCTACATGACGGATGGCAGCAAATTCGAAGTCGGCATGAGCGATCTGGATTACTACAGGACATACGCCATCAGGATCTGCATCAACTTCGCTTCTCAGGTCGGAGCCTCTCTCATGCTGTTGATAGTACTTTTCGTGCTCACCAGACGCGAGAAGCGGGCCGCTCCCGTCTTCGTCCTCAACGCTTCCTGCTTGCTGGTCAACTCCATTCGTTCGATCCTGCAATGCCTCTACTTCACCGGCCCCTTCTACAGCCCTTATACGTATTTCTCTGGCGATTACTCGCGGGTTCCAAAGAGCGAGATAGGAGTTTCCATCTCGGCAAACACTCTTACGCTGATCCTGGTCATGCTCGTTATGACGTCCTTGGTGCTCCAGGTCCGAGTGATGCTCATCACAGCATCCAAGATCCAACGTTTCTGGACGATGGTCATCACGACCTCAGTAGCCCTCCTTACTATCGCCTTCCGCTTCGCCTTGGTCGTTCTCAGCAACGAAACCATCATGAACATCGAAGGTTTCTACGATATGCAGTGGTTCTTGAACGCAACCTACATCACACAGGCCGTGTCCATCTGGTTCTTCTGCGTCATCTTCGTCGTCAAGCTCGGCTTCGCCCTCTCTCAGCGCAAGAAGCTCGGAATCCAGCAACTAGGACCTATGCAAATCATCTTCATCATGGGCTGCCAGACGATGATCGTACCAGGTAAGCCTCTCCTCACACTTCCTAACCGATTTCCAGGCCAGCACTAACATTCAACGCAGCCATCTTCACCGCTCTCAACTACGCCTACTCCGTGCTTGAGTTTGCGTCGCAGACCCTCACCATCGTCTGCCTCTTCCTCCCCCTCTCCGCCATTTGGGCCGGCACCGCCGTCGACGACCGCAGAATCGCTGTCCGCGGCCCAGACGCGCACCGCAAGCTCCTAGGTGCCTTCGGCAAGACCATAAACACCGGCAGCGCAAACACAGCCTCGACGTCCAACACCTCCCACTCTCACACCCGAACACCCTTGGAAAGCCCCACGTCGATCTACAAGTCGTCTGAGAAGAACCAGCACGACATCCGCGTTGAGACGGCCTTCGATGTCGCACGCGACGGCGACATGGTCTGAGCGCCCCGAGAAGACCATCGTTTATCGACGGAAGTTAGGTGTCACATATTGGGGGCTTGCGGCTTCGGTGTTATATATGGGGAGATTGAGGATCGATGGCTTCGAGAAAGCATCAGGTGTGCATGTGGGAGTAAAGAAGCGATGGTTTGCATTCTGCATGCCACTCATTGGGCGCTCATTTCGGGATTACTTACAATCTTTTACATACTTTTCTTCTTCCTCTCTCACGAGACTACTCTTTTTCTTTCATGTCCAGCTGGGAATACACTTAGCTTAGTAATTCGTGCCGGAGCAGTTTGGCTGATTTTGAGGGGTGGGCCTCTTCAATGCTTGCTGTGGTTGGCACGCATTATATATATGTAGCAGTAGCTTTAGATAAGCGGCTGATTAGGTCCATATGGATGTTCACTGCCACGTGCTAGAGTGATGGATTCATTGGTTTCTTGACTAGTTGTTGTAGGTTGTCTGAAGACTCCCCCTATGAGACTCCTCACGCTGCGGTGAACGAGTGTACGGATATCTATGACAAGGCACTGTAAAACGTGGCCTACTTGTCCTTGTTTGCAATATTCTACTCTGTGGACTCAAGATTCACAGGTTGGTCTTACGGCTTGGCCTGCGCAGAATGCAAGACATGCGATGTGCTAGCCATCCTAGCAGCTAGAGCTTCCGCTGGCTGATTCTGAATCAGGAGACGCTGCCAATTCGGGAAGCCCTCGATTCTTTAGGCCACCATGAGACCTCTAGCAACCGCACCAAGTTGCTTCCATGGAGCAGATCGATTCAAAAGCATCGCTGCTCCGAGCTTCGCAAGACAGACCAGCGACCCGGTCAACCGTCATCACCGTCGCTTTCTTTCTCGCTCGCAGAACTCCGCTCCAGATCCCCCAAATCATCCTCGCTACTATGGCTCTCTTCTCCCTTGCCAATAATGTCATCATTGCTGCCGTGGGGCCCCCTTTTCTTGGTCTTGACCTCCTCATCGCCGCTATCTTCCTCACTGTCGGCCATAACCTCGTCATGGTCACTACTGTCCTCATCGTGATCATTATCATCTGCTCCTGCCGCTGCATGGCCTTTGGGCTTTGCGAACAATCTTGCTCTTCTCCTTGCTTTTCGTGCCTCCCTCTTCGCTTCCAGATCCACCCAAGTCCTCCTTTCCTGCTTCAGTTGTGTGATCTGCCCAAACGTAACCTTCTGTATCTCTTGTAGCTTTTTGAACCTGGCCTTCAAATCCTCGAGCTGCTCATTTGCAGTTTGCCCGACCTCTTCGCCGGCCGGCGCAAGCGGCAGGAAGTCCACAGACTTCGACGCTGTATTCTGCGACCCGCCATCCCAGGCCGCTAACTCCGCCAAGCCTTCATCCAGTAGCTCGTCGGGGAACGATGGATGCGTGAGCGCCTCTTCAAACAGACTCAACTGAGGAGCTCCTATCTCTGCCGTTGCGGCGGATATACTCGTGTTTAGGCGACCGGTCAACTGCACATTCATTGTATACAAGGCTGGTACGATACCGATTATACTGTCTCCATTTCCAGTGTCTGGCTTCGGTTTCACCACCGCTGGGATCTTAAATTTGGCTTCTTTTGTTTCTGGCCATCCTGTCGGCTCCAAGAAGCTTAGGTTAGTGACCGCACCTGGCAGATTGCCGAGCGTCGAGGAGTATGCGCCCTTTGCAACATCCCAGGATGCAATCTTCCCGCTCTCATGGCCGGAGATGAGAGTTGTACCGTCCCAATTCAGTGAGATGGACAGTGCAGGACCGAGATTTTGGCTTGTGGCGTTGAAACGGGTGCGTGGAGGAGGTTGTAAGGGACGATGAGCGTGCGCGGGATCATGAAGAGTGTTAGTTGCAGATGCAGGTGCTACGGCATCTCCGGCGAAGAAGTCGATGGTCTGGATGCTACCGTCTGCGTATGCGGCATGGACGGCGCGATCTGCAGGGTCGAGAACGAGGGCTTGTGGTGTGACCTCTAGCAGATAGGTCCGCAGTAGCGTTCCTGTCTGGTAATTCCATACTATGGCAGAGTTGTCGGACGAGGCCGAGACGGCGATGTTGGCGGAACTGGTGCTGTGACCGACTGTAAGAGCTGTGACGGGGCCGCGGTGGGTGGAAAGGGTATGTAGCGGCGCGCGGGAGGTGTCTGGGGCGAAGGAGAGGAGGGCTGGGAGCGACCAGACGTGGATCTGTGAGTCGGTAGAGCCGGAGAGGAAGAAGTTGGAGGTTGGATCGACAGCGAGGCTTGTTACGCGCTGGAGATGGGATGGCGGAGTTGATACGAGTCGACTGGTGCATATCTACACATACATTAATATAACTGCCTTTAAATATGTATAGCGCATGATTATAGTACCTCCCAGACTAATATCCTTCCTCCTTCTGTCCCAAGCAATAGCACACTGTCTTCCGCTGCGAGCGCCAAACTGTGTATCCGCTCTTGAAACGGCACCAACAATTCCTGGTTCCCCTTCTCGCGGCTGTATACGTGTACCACCGCCTTGTCTGCTTGCGCAGCAAATATATGCGTTGCGCTCACCGCAATGCAGTTTGGCGGGGCGGCGCTCTTCTTGAAAGCTGCGCGCTGAGCGGCCATCGGCTGGAACTCGTGGACGAAGATGCCCACATCTCTCGCGACGCCAGTATTCGGTTTCGAGGGCGCTGCAATTGCAGCAACAAATTGTTCGGTGAGCATGGCCGCGGCTGGTGTGGGGAGGGCAGAGCTCCGAGAGCTGCTGCGAAAGTTCAGATGGAAATTAAATTTTGGAGAAGTTCGAGTCCGAGCTTCAGCCCTACGAACACCGACGTCAGCCTCGCTTTCAGGCTCCATTTATCCACGCTCTTCTTCTCCATCTCCAACGACCTATACACTCTTCATGCCACCCAATGGCCGCCTAGCCCAACTCCTGAACCAACTCCTCCGCCGACCTCCCCTACAAACCTATCCACCACCCAACCTTTCCTCCCCTTCCATCATGGGCTCCGCACCGCCCTACCCCACCAAACCGCTCAAAATCCTCATGCTGCACGGCTTCACGCAATCCGGCCCCTCGTTCCGCTCCAAAACGCGCGCCTTAGAGAAGAACCTCCAAAAAGCCTTCCCCGCCGGCGTCTCCCTCGTCTACCCCACCGCGCCCATCCACCTCGCCGCCGCCGACATCCCCTTTACGCTGCCCTCGGCCGCCGACACCCCAGAGGGCCAGGAGCCCGAGCAGCCGGATGCGTGGGCCTGGTGGCGGCGTAAAGGCGACAGCGAGCCGTACACCTACGAGGGCCTCGAGCAAGGCCTCGACACCATCGCCGACGTGCTGAAGCGCGAGGGCCCGTTTGATGGCGTGATTGGGTTCTCGCAGGGGGGCGCGATGAGCGCGATGGTGGCGGCGCTGCTGGAGCCCGGGCGGCGGGAGGGCTTTGAGAAGCTGTATAAGGAGGGCTGCATGCGGTACCCGGAGAGCTTTGAGGCGGATACGGGATTCATCACCGAGACGATCCATCCGCCGCTGAAGTTTGCGGTGAGTTATTCGGGGTTTGCGGCGAGGGGGGTGGAGATATATCGGGGTTTCTATGAGCCTAAGATTTCGACGCCTGTGCTTCATTTTCTGGGGACCATGGATGCGGTTGTGGAGGAGGCGAGGAGTTTGGCGCTGGTAGAGAGGTGTGAGAAGAGTGAGGGAAGGATGGTGTATCATCCAGGAGGACATTTCTTGCCGAGTAGTCAGAAGGCATACGTGGCGGCGCTGGTGGGGTTCATCAAGGAAGTAATAGCGGAAGTGGAGGCGGGAGAGAAGGGCAAAGCGAGTGAGGAGAGCGTTGAGGACATGGATGTGCCTTTCTGAGGTCACTATAGGAGATGGGACTTATTGGGCATTTGCATGAAACACGATTAGACATAGATATAGAAGGCGTTGGGGCATAGACGTCTATAGTACAACGCGCCAGAGAGCGCGGAGCCAAGATAATATAGAAGGCTCGCAATGATCTAGACTTATTGGAAACCATGAAGATTCCAAGTTCCCTGTTAGTCGTCTACTTAATGCGCCTTGCCGGTCTTCGATTTCTCAACCTTCTTTGGCTGGATACGGGCCATCATCTCCTCCTTTGTGATGAGGTGGTCGATCCTCTCCAACAGACCTAGTAAGCTCTTCATGTTGCCGCTCCACTCATTCAACACATCATCGGCATCCCTGGGCTTTGCAAAATTCACGATCCGCGCTGGCCGATCGATCTTCGCGTAGATGGTCTTCGCGGTGACAAGCTCGCTGATGTACTTCTCCGTCTCGTCCTCCTTGAGATCCAGAAGCTGCGTCAGACGTGGTATTTGGATCCGAGTGTAGTACTTGGCCACGACACGGACGTTGTGCTCGATGACACGCTTCCGGAGATCATCCCATCGCTGGAACGCCTGTGGGTCATCCGGGTCCTTCTCGTCATCGAAGACATCAGTGCTGCAGAGATGGCTGCCAAACTGCTTGGCGACCATCGGCCATCTCATCAGCTCGGGGACTGTGAACAGCTTGACCAACTGAGCGTCTTCGGGTATTTGGAGGTTTCGTGAATCGCGGTGGATGCGGTGGAGGAGGTCGGACTGCTCGTTGTCGTAGGGGGCGAGAATGACATAGTAGATGACTCGTTGAAGCACCTAATGCTCAATTAGTAGACGTCAAAGACGCTTTCGTGGTCCATCTTACCGCTTGTAACTGCTTGGGATTCTCCTCCACGGCCTCCGTATCGAGAACCTGCCGATAATGCTTGCAGACCTCCAGGTACTTCTGGTCATGTTTGGCCAGTAAGATTTGCTGCTCGTAGTATTTCAGCTTGAGATCCGTAACGTCGTCTTCCGGCTCTACGGGAGGGTCATCCGCACTCCTCTTCTTCTCCTTCTCTTCCCGTTCCTTCTGGTCTTTCTCCAACTGCTCCGGGGTCTTCTTCGGCCTCCGTGTAAAGTATTTGGTACCGATCTTCCGGCTCAAGATACCCGCCTGTGTCCAGTCGCCCTTCTCTATGCAAAGAGACACCTGCTGCAAGATGAACTCGGTCTTTTCCCGACGTGACATTGATCCGAACGTCTCAACCTGGAGCTCGCATAGAATATCGGTAGCGGCATTGATATCACCTTGTTCCTTCTTGATGTTGGACAAGATGCGGGTTATTTGCGCTCGCTCGACTTCGACAAAGATCTAATAACCATGTTAACGATTATAATCATGTGAAGACTAGAACACTGCCTACCTTGCCCTCCGTCACCGTCCGCAGGGTCTCGATGACGGTCAACTTCGTCTCCAAGCTCGGAACATCGTCTAAGAATCTCATCACCACCTGCACCATCTTCGTAATTGCCTGCTTGAGCTGCCCATGTTTCTTGGAGAGCAGCAACACTTGCTCATTCAGCAGACTCCAATCCCCAGATTCTTTTGCTATTGTGACGATGGCGACGATGACGCGAGATGTAGAGGCAAGATCGGACGCCTGGATGTTATTAATACGGGGCCGGAGCACTTGGAGGTGGCGGGGGATGTACCTGTCGCGTTTGCTTCTCTAGCAACATGAGCTTCTCGATAGCGGCCTGGACATTGCTCTAGATTCTGTCAGATGGAAGCTCTCCAGTTTCATACCTGATACCAACCTTAGCAAGCTCCTCTGCTTCTGGCAACACCTTGTCCGTCTCTTTCGAGAAGTCCTTGTCGGCCTTGAGCACCTGTCCGTTGGACATGATGGCTGATGGCGCGCTTTTGGTGGTGCTATCTCAGATTCGAGGTTTATGAGTAGCAGAGGGGTAGTGGGTGGCTGAATATTGGAGGTGAGGCCGTGAGGTAGGTCGTTGATGAGGCTCCAATGGTCCAACGTAGCTGAGTGTTCCTGCACGTGACGACTAGACTACTAAGCAAAACCGGACCGACGTCCATCTCAACTTCATCCCATCCCTTCTCACATATGTAAACAATGGCATGAGTTCCACACAGTTATATAGTAAGGGAAAGATATCCATCTATTCTCAGTCAAAACTTGCGTCTCTTTGGATCATCTCAGCTTCATCCAACTCTAGACTGTGACGTTGCTGGACCTAGACTTCCGGAAACAATCCCAAAATGAGAGGTTCGCCCTCCAATTCACCTAAGCAAGAACAGACAACTGGGATGTAGGTAGGTGCTTCTTAGTAAGATACTACCCTACGGGTATTCTCTGGTTATCATGCCCAACATATTTCAGAGATCGCATCGCGTCCCCACTGGTCTTCCTGGTATTTTTCTATAGTCTAAGTCGGATAATAGTAATATACTCCCACAAAGAACTTCGAGCTAGCACACATACATGGCGCCGTGGATGGAATGAAAGTAGCATCGTTATTCTTTGGCAAAGCCGTCGCCTAGGACACAACCTACCTTCCATCATGACGACGAGCACGAGCCCCCCTGTGAACCCAGAGCGATCTTGGCGTATCGGAGAATCTTCTGGATTGCCTATAAGAAATTGCTCCTACTGTTTACAGTAGACGCAGACGTGTTTTTCGAGGAATCAAAGGCCCTGAATTCTGAGCTGGTCAGCGCCTTCGTCACCGACGATAAGCACGATCCTTACCGCGCGGAAGTGCATTCACCTGCATTACCAGGGTAACAGATTTTTGCTCGCTATTCTCTCCGCGTTCAAAATCATGCCTTTCTATCATAGCGACCGCTTTCTCGTACAACCACCGAATCCACCCCTACGGAACTGCGGAATGGAAGGCACAGAGATACCGGACGAATCCAGTCTCCATGATCTGGAACCAGAGGAGGGCAATCCGGCTTTAGATAACTGGACGCGCGCCGTCAACGGCCAAGCCCAAGAGCGCCGCCCTACGCCAAACTGGACTGTTGCATACCTTGTTGCTGAACAGGCAGGGTTTCGGAATGCTTGGGCACTAGGTATCGCGCCGCCTCCTTGTAAGTTCAGATACGCCTTCTTCCTAGCGACACTACTGACAATGCCTTTACAGCTATCGATGTCCCGCCCCAATTCGTTCAGCAGACGTCCGCTCTTCCCCAGAAGCAGGATATCTCGTCCGCGGCTCCGCAGCCCTTTGCAACTCCAGTCATGCAACGCCTAGCATCTCATGCTCTGCATACTGGAAGTGCGGCAACACCCGGAAGCGCTACACAGGGTATAAAGGCGGCTCCAGTCAAGTTCACGCTGCAACAGATAGGTATCAAGAGGAGACTTGTTCTTGTAGAGGATGAAACTGACAAAAAAACTGAACCCTTTGAAATTCCCGTCAGGAACACCAATGGTGAACCAAGGGAAGGAGGTGCAAGTGTGGCGCCAGACCCTGACAGATCTAGCATGTCTACAGTCAGTAAGTCTAGTTTCTATCAGGAAGTCCCTCCTGATACTGTCAATATACACTTGTTGGGAAATTTGGAGATTACCGCAGAAGAGCTTCTTACTGTAAGTATCTGTTTCAAGACTCTCACAATGCCTGTAATTGACGCGGATGGCTAACATCACTAGTTCTTTCCGTTGCATACGATCTGGCACAACGGCATCAATCGTCTAGTTCAGAATGGCTGGAGCTTCGATACCATCTCTAAGTTCATCGTGAGTACATTGACAACACTTTAGTAGCTCCAAACTAATTTTTTCCAGAACTGGGCGAGGAACCTTCAACCATTACCAGGTCGGGGCCGCACTTCAAACGCACTCGAGATGCAAGTAAATCGTTCAGATGACCGCATCCACAACGGCCGCAGGTTTGGAAGAGGGGTAGCGCGTCCCGAGGGCAGGATCGATGATCTGACTACAGCCCGCTGGGAGATACCTCGTCGTAGGATCTACACGTTACAGGACTACCTTTTACGGGACATAATCAAAGGTGTTGCCCACTTTCCCACAGAAGAAGGCCGGCGAGAACTCACGATGGTGATGGAGTATGCCAGAGAGCATCCGGACGAACTGTCATCGACGACGTTGGGTAAACACCTCATGGTCAGCGATATCCCAGTGCTCATTCAGAAGCATGGATTCTCTAGTCAAGTCGCCCCGATCCGCCTTGGAATCGAACCACACGACCATCCAGACTTTCGCGCGGTCGAGAGACACCGCGACGAAATAGGTGAGCACGAGAGACTTGCGAAGCGAAATCTCCGGGATATTGCTCCTAATACTACGCCGTCCAAGAAACCATCCAAGAGAAAGGGGAAGAGAACGTTGGGCGAATGTTGAGACGGACCTGCTACACGCCTGACAACATTATCGTACTGGGATAAAAGCATGCGTGCACTAGGCCGTTATGCCTGAACGGCTTTGTACTGTGTTTGAAGTGGCCGAAGGACGTTTCTAACCAGCCTGATACCTTGCTAGACTATCTCAGCCAGTAGTAGGACAGGTATACACAGTCTGATCCTATGAACCGACTACTCAGGCCTATAAGCGGTCAGTAGTGCCCTGAATGTGCTGGAGGCAGGTTCAAAAGTCTTTATTTGCTATACGAGGTTGTCACTGACAAGGTGTACTATAGATCCTGGTAGGATAGCCTAGCTAGAGTGATCGGCTAATAAACTTACTGGCCTTTCAAGAACGCCCTCAGAGCGAACGATTACATGTTGCTGCCGATGCCAGAAAAGCTACGCCTTATACAGTACTAATCCTAGCCACGCAATCTACCACATCCATATTTACGCCATCGCCATTGGCACCAGCCACCGCCCAACGCAACACACCCATCCCATAACCCCAACTGGCTCCGACGGCCCATCATCTACGCAACGAGATCACGGCAAACTAGTCCATAGTCAGTCTTCACAATCATTAGAACCCATACCCATAACCATGACACAAAAACCTCTCCCCAGCTCGGCACTAGGAAGAACTCACAGAATCCAAATTGCAGCACTTCGGCTGCTTGCGAATCTCCTTACAAAGGATGATAAAATCAGGAAGGCTATGCGGATTCGCAGGGGCTAAACGAGTTTCGTATCTGTAAGTCCATATTCTGCAGTTTGGGAAAGATGGCAACGCCACACGTACGAGACTGGCACTGGTGCGGATCGGCGGCGTCGGTGCCGCAGCACATCGGCGCACTCCACGAGCCGACGCTGCAGACGGATTGGAAGCCTTGGCCCTTGCTCTATTTGTCTTTGAGGGCGGGAGCGGCGAGGACGGAGGTGGTGGCCAGGAGGGCGGTGGCGAGGAGTGTGGAAAAGTGCATGTTGCGATTTTGGGAGTTTGGAAGTAGGATTTGCTATGTTTGGGTGAGTGAGGGTGCGATTGACGGGTCATGTGCGTTTAATACAAAGAAGACACGCGAAAATGGTTGAGTGTTGGGATATGGTCTGCGAGAGGCTAGATGATCCAATGTGTAGTCGATTATGCCATGTGCTGGTTCCATGTTTACTCTTGAATCTTGGAAGCCTGCTTTTTATCGATAGGTAGGTGTTAGCGCACCTACTATCCCCTAATTTAGCTGTTGTCAGTCGGCCAATCTGAGGCACAGATCCACTTTGACGTCCGGTACGTTACCACAGGACCCTCTGTACACATCCAGGACACATCCAGGCCTCCGGGGCAGCTTCAGCACTCGTTCGACACTCGAATGCTCTACGAAGTATGCAACACCGACAATAAAATTAGAGTCAATCAAGGTGCTCGGGAAGTGGCATTATTCAATCATGCTAGGTGTCTATTTCTCAAGTATAAATAGACAACGAGTAACAGTTTAAAGGCTTGTACTCTAAGGCTATAATCAAGAGGACACGAATTAGTGTTGTCTCTATTACGCCATCATCTAGGATTACTCGCCGAGATAGGCCTTCCATAATGTACCTAGGCATCCACGCTCGTCTGAGGGAGCCTCTTCCTCATACCTGTCGACGTCCCCCACACTCGTCCGCCATCCATAGGATCTTATCGCGTCTCTAGTGAGGGCTATAAAGGCCTGATCCTACCGAGAACATCCAACGCTCTCTCCACCCCACATTTGTCTTCTTTATCTCTGCGAGCACCCTTTTATGCCATCCTATCCCTAGGTTGTATCATTCTCCAGGCGAAGTGTCCTAATACCTTCCCATCAAAGATGTCTCAGGAAAGCGCACTGTCAGGAGTGCCATAACCCCTGCTCCTCACAGGCGTCTCCGAGGCTTCCCTCTCACCACTCCCCACCGCCCCAACCTTTCCCCCGGGTCCAACAACCCACGGCGCACTCGAAGGAGCATACGGCGATTGCCCTTGCCGCGTCGTCTCCTGGAAAACCTGATAGAGCTGCCTGTCAAAGAGCTTGCCCCGGTGGTCAACTACCCCCGTATCCTGTCAGTCCACCATGTTCAAGATTATTTCGGAGTATTCTCGAACTTACGCTTCGCCTGTATCACCTGCACGTTGTAATTCGGGACATAGCCCCACCGAACCGGGCGCTGCGCCCCCGGCTCCGTCATCACGTCGATGCCGGCGGTTTTGTAGTTATTCCAGACTGTGGCGAAGAAGGAGTCGAAGGGGGGGTGGAGTTGGAAGTCGTAGCGGTCCCTTTAGAGAGTTAGGTTAGCAAGTCAAAGCGGCGAGTTGGATTGTGGATGGGCGTACCAGTTTCCGCGCCGGGAGCTAGATGCGAGGGTCCATTTTATAGGCTGCTGTGGAGTAGAGGGAGTAGAGGCGAGCTGGGGTGGGCCGAGAGCTTTCCATTTTTCTTTGTAGGAGATTTGGGACATTTTTTGTGAAGATTGGGGAAGCTGGCCGTGGCTGTATAGGAGAGGGTTTGGTGGAAATGCGTCGTGGGGCGGACGTGGGACTGTGGTGTTGAGATGTTTGTTTTCATCAGGTGGTGAATTGCAACCTCTCGCGTTTCCCCCCGCGACGTCACCGTCCATCACCGGGGCTTGTTTAGATTTTCTAAAAGACGGCATCGGAGGGCTGAAAGCAAAACACTGATACAGTACTCACGACTAACCAAAGGACACTCAATAGCCAACTTACCAACCTACTGCCTTCAAACGATCTCCGACAACCCTTCTGATCCATCCTGTCGAACGCTGAACGTGCTCCGCCATCCACCTTCCAATCACACTGCAGTCGCTGCCCGCCTCGCCGTAAACGCCTTCACCGCTTCCGCCATCCGGCTACCCTCTCCCCGTCTCCATCTCCGCCCCTTACCGCGCTCGATCGTAACGTTCGGACTCAGCGTCACGACCACGCCGCCATCGGTCCCGGAAACTGGCGTTGCGTGCGCCTCGCTGTTGACCATCGCCCCTCCAATACGCCCTTCCTCTTCATCACGAACAGAAGCGGATCCAACCAGCTCTAGCTCGCGCGCAATGGCTCTCATTCCACCCTGTCTTCCCCTAAACGGATCAGACGCGCTCTCACGCTGCCACTCCACCGCATCCATGAACAACTCAGTGCCAATTTTGACGCCGCCGACGGTAATGGAGTGCCCATGGGAGAACGAATCAGAGCGTGACGACGAGTCGGAGTCCCATGACGCCTCATCTAGGTCCAATCCACGACGGAGCTCGCTTAGCATCCCAAATGGAGGCCTCGGCGATGGGCTACGGCCGCGTTGTTCGAACTCGCAGCTCGTCATACGGGACAGCTCCTCCTCGAGGTAGAAGGGGGATGGGGAGGGCGATGCGGGATACCGGAGGCGAGCTTGGGCATCTGAGAGAATGGATGGGGAAGATGCGGAGGTCGAAGCCGAGGGGAAGGTGTGCGTAGAGTCGGTGGCGCGACAAGCGCGTTTCGATATATCATCGGAAGGCTGAGGCCGCTGTGACGGGGTTAGTGCCGCTTTCTGAGCATGCGAGGCAGTAGGTCAATAATATAGGAGACTTACGCGCTTGCAAGGGGTTTCATCGCCTGCAGAGAAAGAAAAATCACCACCTCGTAGGCCCGTGCTCCATCGATCGCGTATCAAATGGTCTTGCTTCGCTAGGCCTATCCACTCCTCTGCTCCCGTTGGGCGGCGCCGAGGTCCAATTCCACAGTGCTCGTGTGCACACTCGCCTATTCGGACGTCCGTCAAGTGATTAACGCTGCTGCTATGCTCTCTCTGCTTCTCTTGCGCTCCGAGACCGTCCTTGGATGGACCGTTCTGGCTTCTGCTCTCTGATTCGCAAAGTTCCAGCCACTTGACGATGGATTGTTCGGCGCCTGCGTTGGGGTGGTCAGGGGGTAGTAGCGGATAGGTGGGTTTGAGGCGTAGTGGATTACGGGCTGGGAGTGCTGGTGAGGTCATCAAGAAAGTAGAATCGCCGGACCAAGTTGAAGAGGTAGGGAGGTGAGGCGGAGAACCTTGAGGCATGGCTGGAGCTGGCGGTAGCTGTGGTTGCTGGAGTAGCTGGAAAAGGCTTTTGGTCCCATTTGAGTGCGGTGGGACGCAAGGAGCTGGGTGACCAGAGAAATGTTCGGAGATGGAATGAGAGGTTCGTTGGGGAGCGGCGTGAGTTCGGCGCTGCTGTGTATCTTGATATTGAGGATGGCTATCGAGGGAGCTTTGCTGACTAGGTTCACAATCGCTTTGAGGCAATTCTACCGCAGAGTCTCGACGAATGCAAATGCTATGCCGAAGCTGACCCTTGGAAGTTTCTTGGGATTTTGCTTCTCGCTGGGCGTGAGGCTCGTTTTCAAGCTCGGCCACTGTCCTCCATGAGGCCTTCTCCAGTAGCTCAGCTGGTACCCGGGCAGCTATTCCTCCTTTTCTCCAGGGTGGTGTGAGAGGCGGCTGGCGAGCTTCAGACTTTCTCCATGACTTGAGCAACGGGCTATCGTTGGTATACATTTCTGTAAGCTTTCGATCCCAAGGCGCTCTTTGAGGAGCGGAACTGTGAATTGAAATGGAAAATCCCCCGCTACTGTCAGGGCTGGTATTTTCAAAGCTCAAGGTAGAACTCAAAGAGTCTGTTGTAGTTTGGCTAACTCCTTGCTGGTTGTGAAACGGAGTGCCGGTGGACCATGGTGCGATTGCAGATACGCCTTGCTGCGAGCCGTCCGGAAAATGGGTACTTAGTACACTTCGCTGAGGCCCTGGAGGTGCGTAATGTAAAGGAGTGAAGTTTTCTTGCCAAGCATTATGAAAACCCTTTCGCATTCGGGTCGAATGGCCAGGGCGGGCAGGGCTATCGAGGACGCAGGCATGATGCCGACGACGAGTACCGATATCTTTATCTTCATGCGCCGAGCTGACCCTGATATATCCCCTGGAGGGTAGTAGCGAATGTGTCGGAGTCTCTACAAAGTGTGCTTGCTCGTGAGACTCAGGATTGCTCGGCCGGGTGATTCTATTGTAGGGGGTACTTTGATCTGATGATTGGAGCAAAACGCCGCCGGCAAGTGATTGATCATCCTCGCAACCGGGTTGAGCAGGCGACGAACTATGCTGGTATCGGGGCAGGGATGGTAGACGAGGCTGAAAAACCTGGGGACTGGTTACTGGGATCGGGCAGTTGTATACGTCCTCTTCAGGCTGAATGGAGCGATGGTGGCCTATGTGGCAGCCCTTGTGTTAGCGAGTGTTTTGAAACTTGGAGAGTTGGAGAGGTACCATGAGATCTAATTTGCAGCATGGGCAGATAGGAGCATGGTTGTTGCGTGTCGATGGTTTCGCTATACTGAATGCCATAGTGGCCAACGGAATTGCCAATCTAACGAGCACGTGAGCTCCTTGAAGGAAGATAGGATGGTACGACTGGAGTGAACGTTGCCTGAAGAACTTACCCCAGGGAAATCAGACTTTTGATGTTCCGCCATAACGCAAAGAGGTAAACCTGCAGTTGATGCTTTGGGGAGCATAGACATGCGTTGGGATAGATGCTGCTGTTGGATGATCTGAGGCGGGATAATATCCAGAAATGAAGCGTCGCGATGAATTCAAAACGAGTTGATTGAGTGGGGTGAAGGGAGTATGATCTCTCCAAAAGCATGGGCGTCGCGCGAAAAAGCTATTCAGCGACATGGCTGCAACTGCTTCACGAAACAACAACAAGAAACATCTAAGGGCGCATCGAGTCTCGGAGTGGAAATCATTTTGGAAAGCGCGATGGACCCTCATTGCTACGATAGGTAGGCTGTCGTGAGTATAATTTGATTACCGCCGAATCCATCTCGTGGGAAGACTTGAAGTGAATCGGAAGTACTAAGACCGCTTTATGGAACGGGTGAAACGGAGAGGAGAGATGGTGAAAGAGAACGCGAATCGTGGTCGAGACTGTAACACCATTGTTGTCAGCGAAGAAACAAGTGAGATGGCCTCAAGGCGAAATGAGCCGCATTCTAGATCCCAGCCTCGAAGATTACTGGGGAGAAATAACTGGTGACGATCTCTTTTAAACCCTTAAATACCGATTAGTTTTGGCAAGTTTCCAAATGTATTAAGCAGCTTCCGCAAGGTCGTCCACTCTGGTGGGTGTAGGCTAATACGTTGCCTGTCGCCAAGGGTTCGATTCCCAAGGCCGTCAGAGACGGAAAACATGTATTTGCACTCGATAAGGGGCTGCATGGGCTTCGTAGTGGAGGCGGACCGATCCTGAAATAATTGATTAATTAATGTGGTCAGCCATAACGGTCAGGTTGGGGGCCGTCTGAAAGGTAAGTCTTAGTTTAGTAGTTTAGTTTTTGGCTGTAAGCCCTTTTTTTTTATACCTGGTTTAGGTTGGGACGGAAAGGTTACGATTGTAGGATCATAAGTCACCGATATGGTCACCGATTGAGGTGAACTCCCACACTGCTAAAGTGCCTCCGGCAGTAGTGTTACCTACCTACATACACTGTTGAGAACGAAAGGTCCGGTCAGTTATTAGTGTAGGACGATTTGAAGTAAGGTGGGTCGGGACACAGACCCCAAAGAGCGGAAATGAGGTGTGTTGGTGATTCCGTTCAGAAAGCCGTTGCAGTCTTACAGTCACGACCGCCCTGGGTATGTTAGACTACTACGTAAAAGTTGGATTTGGAGGAGAGACGCGCAGCAAAGACGTTGTGCGAGAGATGCAGTCTCCGAAACGTGCATAAATCTAAATCCCCGCTGCGGATTGGCTACTATTCCAATCCCGGAATGCACAATCATTACACAATGCTAGGGCTACGGAGCACTTGGGCATCGATTATTGAGACGGGACTGTTTGATTAGTTAGATTCACACCAGCTGCGCGCTGGATGAAGACTGTTTGTAGACAGTGAAAATGGAGGATAGATCCTGTATTCTCCGTATCCTCAGTGGCATTCCTCTCCTTCTTCACGTGACGCTATTTTCAGCATCCAATCCAACGTATACCGTTTTTCCAACATGTGCATAGTTGCATGCCTACGCGAAATCACAATTATCTTCTGCGAAACAATCCTATTAATATTTCGTGTCTGAGCGGCGAAACTCACAACTGGCGCTGCCAAGACCACTGACAAGGAACAGTAGGTACAAAGGTAAGATTCACGGATCAATGCAGAGACGAGCACTTACCACAGCTACGCAATGGAACAAAGAGCCGCCGTGCCACTCCTCCATCTCTCGAAAACCACATGGTGAGTGAGAGGTCTTATAGGGTATTGTAAACCCCGCCCTTCGCGATGCGCTTTTGATTACAACCATAGCGACAGTCTTCGCAGTCATCATGTTCGCAACTTTTCTGGACAATGGCCCGGTTGCCAATGATCTTGATAGTGAGGGAGCAGCAAGAGACGTCTTCATGGCGGTGATACTAGTGGATGGTCTGACAACACTCAGGATGTGATTAAGCTTTCTTCTCTAGCAAAGTGAGGTGAGGATATGTTGGCTTGAAAACGAAGTGTATAGTCGAAGACTCGATCAGTGACATGTCGGCAAACTGAAGTGGCGCAAGCCCTTCGATTAAAAGTTATGACTGCATGAATAGGATATAGAAGATGGAGGCAGAGCTCTCTCTGCATAAGAGTTAGAACGGTGTCCAAGCCTACCTGAGGTAGTGCAAATGCATGTGAGTGGAGCGGAAAGTGGCCGGATACTGGATCCGAGAGTTGTGGACCATCCTCCTTCTAATTAGCGGAAAGCGGGGAATAAGAAGAAGAAGAGAAATGCGGTTCAGGATGAGGTCGTGATAGTGCTTCCATCCTTCTCCTTCTATTTGGCAGCAACCGGGGGATCCCGAGCACGTCATACGAAATGGCCGGAGAATTTCGCTATTCATAGACGACAAGGTGCGATTACTTTCTTCCGGTGGTTTGAGAAGAAATGAGGAGAGCGGAACGTGTTCGTCGGCGACGAGGGTGGCTTGTTATTGCAGGGCTTGAGCGAATTAAGGCGCACATCCTGGCAGTCTGGCGGAGGGCGGGATGCTTCACAGTGATTCCTCATGCAGCTGTCCCCGGCTTTGCACATGACGATGCGGGTGGCGGTGAGGGAGCGGGCTCGAGGAGAGGACGTGCCGTGAACATGTTCAACCACAGCAGCAGCACTGTGGCCCCCCTGGGTAGCAGTTGCACGATACCGGCATCTGTCGCGGAAACACGAAGCATCAGAACCCGATTCATGGGAGACCGTGTTGAAAGCCGGGGACATGCTACAACTGCACGCACGGCCGGCTCAGGCGCACTCATCTCGCCGTGGTGTCAACTCCAGACACGCCAGGCTGCCTTGCTATTTCGGGCGCAGGAGAGGCAGGCCGATCGGCAGAGACGGTGGCAGCAGACGGACTCGCTATGGGGCGTTGCGCAACTCCACGGCGTGCTCGGCTGGACCCCACAGCGGCCGCATCGACGGCGTGCCTGTTGTCTTCCTTCTGTCTTCGGATCGTCGTGGCCGGCTCCTCGTGGCGGGCGTGGTGGCGGAAGTGTTTCACCATTGCGCGCCGCTTGACCTATCTCGGGCCGCGCTCCACGGGACAGCGCCCCTGGGAGCGGGCCCAAGCCGGGGCCGCCTCGCTTCAATCTGCCCAAGCGTGCCTAGGTGGTGCCCACGGCTGGGACTGCCCGTGCGCCTGGCCGAGAGATCGCAGCCTTCAGCTTGGCCGTCTCCTCTCCTGTGCCGGCGACCTCACCTCCTCCTTCCCCACGGCACCTGGAGGCCTCTGGGACCACGGGCTTGACCCTCTTCTTCTCGCGACCGTGTCGTTTCTTCTTTTGCTCCCGCATCGCCCACCCTCGGCGCTATTTACCCAGGACCTCCCCCGCGCACCGTCTCCAGAAGCACGACTCCCGTCCGCGAACCTCTGCGCCCACCACTCAATTGCCTTCCAGCTGCCGCAATCGCCGAAAGACAGCCCTCCGACATCGCGAGTTTGATCTGACCGAGGCCCATGCCATGCCATTGCTGTGATCGCGTACGTTGACTACTTTTTCCTGAAACCCGCTTTTGGTAGTCCGAAAGCACTCTCTGGAACAACTTCTGTTACAACCACACGGCGCCCACCTATTGCACCGCCATTCTCTTCCTCATTCTCCGCTGCGAACTCCTGCAAGCACCCCGTATGCCACCACTCTCAATGCGCCCAGCAGTTGTCCTCTCTTTCCTGGGAATTCCAATTGGACCCTGCTTTCTTTATTCCGCTCCAAGCTAGGCATTATCTTCTGACTACGATAGGACGTTACAGCCTCCAGCAACTCCCGATCCATACCTAGGCACACTGCACGCCACAGTCTCCACTTAGTCGATCCAGCCTCGCCTGAAACCCAGCCCACTCGATCGTCGGCAGCCCTGGGAACTATTATTCGCGCACTGTCCCGTGTGGTGCTCCAGATTTCTATTGCTTGCCACATGCTCTGTAACATTCGCTGCGCCGACCTCTCTTCTATGCCATTGCGTTGACCATTGCATGAGGCTTCACCTTCGCCGGACCGTTTGGAATACCGACACAATTGAACGCGCTGGACGAGTCCTAGCGACCATCGCGCTCCCTTTCGTATCCACTGTACACTTCCACGTCATTCATTTGTCCGCTAGCGGATGCTCTTTTTGGATCAGCGGCTGGTTACGTTTTACGCGACGGACAAACGACCGCAGGATCGCCCGCTGCAGCTGTGCGAACGCAGTCCTAGGAGTCCCTCGCATACCCATCATTACTCGCCAACCTACTGACTCTGTGTCGGTCGACAGACACACCCTTACCCACGATCTCTTCTACCGGCTTACATGAGTTATGACCGGCAGGCAGACGTGCCTTCGGGCAGGTCTGCAGCCAACCGAGATGCAGATGGAGCAAAAAGGGGGGGCTCTGTGCGGGCAGCTCGAGAAAGACTCCACGCACAGCGTCACCAAGCTCCAGGGGGATCTCCAGAACGAACACGCATCGTGGGACTACCGGCACGACCAAACCAGTTGGTGTCCCACTTCTCTGTGCAGAAGCCCCAGCAGATGCCAACTCCGCCCTCGAGTAGCGAAGGTCTTGCTACGGCAGTATCACCGACGCCACAATGGCCATTGCCCAACGACGCCGACGATGCCATCGATGGCTCTGCGTCTCAATCTCAGGCGCGGTCCACAGACCGTAGACCTCCTCCTCAACGGCCGCCAAGACCGAGTTATGTTCCCGACATCGTAAACCACCCCAGACCGACAGACCTGCCTACACAACAGCCTCAGCCAGTTGCGATGGTCCCGGAACTGACCTATCAGGATGATGATTATCTGTCGCCCTCATACGGAACGATGTCGTCAAGTTCGAGACCCTTGACCCAATCCTCGGCTGCTTCGGAAGTCTCCTCATTAGGCTCAATACCAGACTTCCCTATCCCTGCCCAACCGCTTCCTCGGCGGAGTCCAAATATCGGTCCACCACCCTCTGCACGTCGAGGTCCATCGTCGTACTATTCGCAAATGTCATATGTTTCGCCCATTGCGGAAGAGGCTGAAATAAACCGGTCGCACCACGGCTCCTACGCGTCAAGTAATGTAATACCATCGAATGTACAAGATTTCTATTTCGACGAAGATGCGTCACCTTCAGACGACGACAGACCAATCTCAGTCGAGAATGGACGGGAATCGCGAGCAGGCGACCACGATGAGCAAAGTGGACTGGTTCGACAAGCAAGTATTGGCAGGCGAACCAAACCTTCTTTGACGACAATCAAGTCAGGTGACAGTCTCCGAGTCGACGATCGTGCTTCCAGCAAACGCAAGGCGGAGAAAAAGAAGCAGGGGTTAGTTGCGCAAGCCGCCATTGCTGCGGGTGCCACAGGCGGTGCGTTTGCCGCCGGTATGGGTGCAGCACGAGAGCAGCAAGTCTCCCGGAATTCGTCGCGCGGCTCTGGAGGGCCTGGGAGCGGGTCATTGAATAGTGGAACAGGCCTCCTCGATCCTTCGTCTTCATCCTCCGAGTCTCTAGACTCTATGAAGCCTAAAAAGAACAAATCCGCAGGAGAGCTGAGACCAATACCAGCTCAAACGCGTTCCCGCTCTCCTCTAGCTCCCCTCGACTCGAAGCCCGCCCACAGTCCTCGCGACTATGAAAAGGAAGACGTGGACTCTCCAACTCACCCATTGCAGATGCCGACGCGACAGCCGTCGTCATTAGCGGAACGTGTTGGAAAACGAAGACCTCCTCGCCTGAACGTTGATGCTGTCAGGGAGGCCGAAGCACGAGGCAGCTTGACTAGTCTTCCGGATCTCATCAGACGTGCGACACGCCTTGCAGCGAACCTTGATCGTGGTAAGACAGCCAGCAGACTAGGGATGGACTTCTTCGCCGCTTCCGACCTTGAGAAGAGAGACGGAGAACACCGCACATCTGGTTCATTATCTGATATTCTGGCATCATTCCCGCCGCCTGGTCTTGCAACTCCTACCGGCGATTACTCTCCAAATAACCGGCATATGTCAAGATGGCCATCAGGTCTAGCAATGGCCGAGACGGCTTCGATGGGCGACGCGGAACCCAGGAAATCTGAGCGTCGTCGCCGACGGTGCTGTGGTATGCCTTTATGGGCGTTCATCCTTCTCTTGATCGTTTTGTTGCTCCTCGTTGCAGCCGCCGTCGTCATCCCAATCGTTCTGATCGTCCTTCCGAGAATGAGAGACAACAAGCACTCCGCATCGAATCCGGGAGCGACTAGCCAAGCTAGCCAATGCGCCGCGTCTCTCGCGTGCCAGAATGGTGGTGTAGCAATCGTCAACCCAGACGCCTCGTGCAGCTGCCTATGTACTAACGGTTTCACTGGTAAAACATGTACCAGCGGTACCGACTCAGGTTGTACTACCCAGGATGTGGATGGCATCAAGAGCGCTACTCTAGGCAACGCCCTACCTCGCTTATTGGAAGACTCGCAAGCAAACTACAGCATCCCTTTGAACGCTTCGCTCATTCTTTCCCTCTTCTCCTCCACCAACCTCAGCTGCACCTCGGAAAACGCCCTCGTCACCTTCAATGGCCTATCCTCCCGCTCCGTTGACTTTAACCTACCTCTTCTCAACAACGTGGACTCACCGCCAGCCTTGTCAGCCTCAATCCCAGCTTTGACGCCACGTCCCGAGGCCCGTCACATCCAGGTTCGTCAAGACCGCGCCACCAGCAACGGCCTCATCATCGCGGCTTCGGCAACTTCGCCTCCCACTTCAACCCGCACTAGTGGTGGGTCTCCAGCGGCGACCGAGACCCTCGCCACCGTGAATAACGCCACCGCGCTCGACTTTGCCCGTGTGGGTGTACTTCTCGTCCTACAAGAGTCTCGCGAAATAAACACGGCGGTCGCGGCGCAAGAGAACCTGCAGACCTTCTTTGAGGGACGCGGCGACAACAGTGACAATGCTGGCAGCGTCGACCTGGGAAGCAATTTCTCGATTGATCTCGTCAACCTCACAATCAGTCTAAGCAATGGGACTATAGTTGGCTCTAGTGCAGCTGGAAACGCGACAAAGACTCATTGATGCATCAGAAAAGGAACTCCATCAATCGCCTAGTTGTCCCTTATTTATACCCCGAACCCAGTACCCGATCCTGATACCCGATAGCTTGTGCACGATGCCCGCCATACATGCCTTATCAAACCTCCCTCCATATCTTTTTACATTCTTCTATCTACCACTATTTTGTTCACTTCACAACTCTCCTTCATCTCCTTACCATCTAGCGCGCAGCTCGCGTCGCATCAACGAGGCCTGCCTCATCTACTTGCTTTCCTTTGCATATCTCATTTCCCATCTAGCATATCTAGCACTGGCGGCGCGCGGTGTATCGCGCTATACGCGCTTGAATTCAAGTTTCCTGTTTCTTCAAGTCTTCCATTCTAGTCCCACCCCCTGTCTTGATGACGGGATGCTGGTCCTCGTTTTGTGTATTTTCTATTATGGCTGGGGCGGTAATGGCTGTGCCTCGCTTGCGAAGAAGAAAGGAAGACGAAAAGTGGCGTGGGCTGCGACACGAAGTGTAGTGCGAATTGTACATATTACGAAATCCCGCCTGTCTCTTGGATGCGGTAATGCCGAAAATACAACGAGCATATCAAATCATATCACTTTTGGAAACACACTGCCAGCGTTATTCGGATATCGAGCGCAATGCAATATTGTTTTTGTGGCGTGTCTTCGCAAGTTGAAGCACCCCCCGAGCTATTTATTTTCATCTAGCTGACATAGATGTAGCACCTGATTCCCGCCCTATAAACTAAGTACTGCTGATATCTAGCCAAATTCGCGATCCTTTTTCCACCAACGTCGAAAACAGACCCTAAACTTTTGCTTATCGAGTTAGGCGACTTCGGCACATGCAGCTCCCTCGACGCAATCCAGACTCTACATGGACTCCATAGTGCACCAAGAGTTTCCGCTCTGGATGATCAATCTTAGGGAAGACATTCAAAATGCTGTGCTGGCGATCATCGAATGGCATTTCCTATTCGAACAACTTTTCAATTCACTTCTACCACTAATTGCCCTCTTCCTCTGAAAACTCCCCGCCTCCTCCTTACACCGCCTCCCTCCTCTCATCCTCGCTCTTTTCTTTCCTCAACACACTCTCCCGATGCGCATTCGCCACCGCTACATCAGCAGGGCGTATACTACTCGCCCTCCTGACCTCCTCCTCACGCTCCACAAACGCTTGCGGCCGCTTATTCGCGATGGCGTCTTTATCCTGCCAGACGAAGAGGGGCGCGTTGCCGGCAAAAAAGCGGTCCAAGTCTTCCAGAGAGCGGTCCGCGGTCTCGGGATACAGGAAGTACACGATGAGCACAAAGGCGGCGTTGAAGACGGTCCAGATGATGTAGAACTTTCACTTTAGAGAGGAGATTCCGGGTGGTGTGATTTCGACGATTGTGAGATCGAGTCAGCGTGATGACTATGGGAAGGCGGTAGACCTAGCAAAGGGGGGAAGGAGGCAACGCACCTATGAAATTAAAAATCCAATTCATCGCCGTCCCCAACGCGGCCCCCTTGGTGCGCATGCTCAGACTGTTAATCTCGGTCGGACACAGCCACGACACGCCCTGCCACCCGATGCCGAAGAACACGTAGTACAGGAAGAAGAAGCCGATGCTTGCCTTCGCCCACGCGAGGCGTGTCGGGCCGGGGAGGGATGCGTTCTCGTTCTGCGAGATCGTGATGGTGATGACGAGGTAGCAGAGGACTTGGCCGGCGGCCGCGTACGTCATCTTGCGTCGCTCCCAGCGCTCGACGTTGGGGATGCCGATGAACGAGAAGAGGAGGTAGGATATGCTGTTACATCACCCCAATGTGCACACTGCCCACACCCGCGCTGCTCACGTGATCCTGCGCCGCTGTGGCTGAGTTCCGCTCCGGCCTGTTCCCATCGGAAGGTAAGTTTACTCAAGAATTGGGGCCCTGAAACTGGAACCTGGCAGGCCTACGGGCCCGGAAATGGGTCTTCCAGGCAAGGCGAGGAGCCCAGTCTCAACCTTCCTTGTCGAATACCGGGCCCAAAACTGGGGTTTCAACGAGCTGCTCAGTCTCAGCTCAGGATGCGCTCACCCCATCACAGTCACAGCTCAGGCTGGAGCATGAGCAGCTGAGTTCCCTGAACGGGAAAGGAAATTGCGTAGGTGCACATTAGGATATTGAACTACCTGTTGTAGGAAGGCTTTGCAATTGAAGACCGTCCTCCGGACAGACATAGAGAAAGTGAATAGGAAGAACGCAAAAAAGATTCACTCGCTCGACGATTCGAACCAGGATCTCCGAGGGGCAAAAAGAAATTGGTCACTTTGCTGTGTACGGTTTGGAATAGCGTGAGCTTTAACACACTGCGCAATTGCTTGCGTTGTTGAGTGTGCTATGTCACCGCCCGGTACGTGCCCTTGGATTCTCAATTTCTGAAATGCGTTTAATTTTTTTAACATATATACCCTTAGAACTGTCGCGCGCTATAAGCAACACTTGTGCTGCCTTACTAAAACACAAGTAAGTGCTTTCCGGTACCCCCACTCACAGAGGGCGGCTTAATAAGAAGAGTGAAAGCTGGTTTGCAGACATAGAGAAGTGAATAGGAAGAACGCAAAAAAGATTCACTCGCTCGACGATTCGAACCAGGATCTCCGAGGGGCAAAAAGAAATTGGTCACTTTGCTGTGTACGGTTTGGAGTAGCGTGAGCTTTAACACACTGCGCAATTGCTTGCGTTGTTGAGTGTGCTATGTCACCGCCCGGTACGTGCCCTTGGATGTCTCAATTTTCTTGGGAACTGACCGAAATATTTTGAAATATATACCTCCGCGGAATAGCGGAGATGAGGGCGGTGCGCTATCGTACGCCAGGAGCTGCTCAAGTGCTCGTACGGGGCAGCGGTGTCGATGGTTCGTGATAAGACAATCTGCACGCCTTAGTAGACGATGTCTGTTTTGCTGCGGTTGAGCCAGAGAGTTGCATGGTCTGTCGCTATCCAGACGTCGCCGTGCGTGAGTTTGGCGTTGATAAAGGTCCACTTGTCGTTGAGGTCGTTACTCTCGTAGGCAAATTCGCCCATCCTCGGCTTGAGGCTGTTGCGGCGATTTTATGCACCTGGAGAGGCCGGTAATCATGTCTTTCGAGATTAGGTGGCGGACACGCTTCTGCGGACAGAAGCCTGCGGCCTCCGTCGATTAAACCCGTTCTGCTTCCACTTTAGTTGCTCCAGATCCACGTACGTTATTGTTTATAGCTTTACTTTATGTAGAGTATTCTACAGATATTTTCTTACTCTATATGAAGTCAGTGATAGAAATAGGGCGTTGATAATCTCACACCCCCTTTTCGCTATTCGCACACCCCCTCCCCCTCTAGTCGTTTCACCGCCTTCCTATTGGCTCGGAGGGGTGTTCCGGAGCCTCCGATTCGCTCGCTTAACTTGCTCACTAATTCCAAATGCTCTCTCCAAATGCGGCCTTGATCGCAATCAATTACATCCTCTTCCTCTCCCTCTATAATACACTCACCATGGCCCTCTAGCCGCCACGGCTGGCGTACTACGCTACAGCAGAGGAAGCGCATATTGCTCTACAAGCGCACGCATCAGCGCGGGGCTACGGCCTAGCAAAATACCGTAGTAAACCAGACAGAGTGGACATACGAGCATACCTCCAGGACGCATGCCGACAGCTACACCGGTTGGTCTTTCTTGTATTGATC